CAAAGCCAAGCAAAGCTGCATTAAATGGCTTTGGGATTTCGGAATTGAGCCTCGAACAACAGCGGGGGGTACATGAGGATAATTCGAGTACTAATCTAGATGGACAGAGGAATCTACTCTAAATGGCTAGAAATTGTGATTGATTATTCACAAAAAGAAAACACTTATTGGCTTTATTTTAATAAGTATTAATGGAATACAAGTAAAGCAAAGTGAAGAAAGATATATATATATATATAAATAATAAGATATGATATTTATGATATATTTTACAGAATAAATAAATATATAATATATATTATTATGTCAAAAAAAAAAAAAAAAAAGAAAAGAGAAATAATTATTTCACATTGATTAATCTAAAGAACTATGAAAGTGATATGTAAATTTTAATTTTCTCCATCTTTATACTCTAGAGGAGTAGAATTTAGTCTAAATTGTTGCTTTTCTTTCTCAGCAAAAGTATTTTAATTTTTCCATTTATAAAAGCTGTTGAAATTTAAATTGATAATCATTTTAATCAACTTATCAATTAGTGCTTGAGCTAAAGCAGTTTTTACTAGATTTATCAACACTCATGTCCTTGACTTTCTACTTTTCAATTTTTATTACTCACTCAAAGACCGTAGCTAACATTCCATTACGATCCCATTTCCGACTTCAAGTCAGTCTTGACTTCATCAACAGCAAAATTCACTAAATATTTCACTGAATTAATTTTGTCATTCCTTAATAAAATAGCTAAGGTCGCCTTCTCATAAAGTCAACAAGTAAAAGCCATTACTTTGGGGCACACAAATAACTGTATTTAAAGAGTTTGTTAATCATTTGGCCTCGAAATCATTTGTCATATTTGCTCATTCAATAATAAATTGTGGGCACTTGAATCATAAATTCAATTATGCGGAAACATAGTTAATGATGTTCGGGCCTGGTCCGGCAAATTGATTAAATAATAAAATGTCATTTGTGGCATATAATATTGGCCAGCTGTTGGTTGAATGAGCCCAAAAGCCAGAAATAGACCAGCTCACCGCCGCTACCAAAATGACAGAGGCATAATCATCGGACGTCCAAATTGATGTGGAAGCCAAGCGTTGAGATGGTTTTTAGTTTTTAATCAAGTTCTTGGGTCTTGGCTATCATTAACATAACTCAGTGGTCGTCATCATTAGGCTGAACTTTGCGCCAAAAATAAAAACTGAACCCTCAACAGCTGTTGCACACGCACACACACACGCACACAGGGAGTTCTAATCGAACAAAAAGCAAAAGTTCCTTCAGTTTCTTAACTACCCTTCCGGGCAGCCAATGACCAGGCAATAGCAAATGCTGCCGCCCCAGGCACAAGTCTCATTACAAATAAATATCTTGGACTATTTATAATGCCTGGACCTGGGCAGCCTTTTGCTTTTTCGTGTTTCTTCTCTGTTTCTCTGCTCTTTGCGCAAATTATGCAGATTAGAGGGGTCAGTCAGTCCTTAGAGTCGAATCTACACAGCTGGCGGCCGTTAAGATCTCTGCAGCAGCTCGCCCGCTCCCTCTCTCTTGGTCTGTTTATTGCACCTGGTTGGGCAAACAACTATTGCTTTGCCGCCTATAAAATAAAAAACGTAAATTTACATGAAAATCAAATTTTCATGTTTTGGCTCTGCATAAATTGTTCGAATAGCCAAAGCCGTCATTAAACGGCAGCCATTTTATGGCTGTAAATATGTATGTAAATTGAATACACCAGAGAGTATTGCTAGAGCTGTTTAATAGTAAATGTGGTCTCTCTGACTCCCTTCCTCCCTCTCTCTCTCCCTCTCTCTTTGCTAATTTAATTGTGTTTCTGTGCCAATCCACAGCAAAGTTTATAGCATTGCATTAGGCGCTTGCCAGTCCGAAATCAGTTCATAATAAGCTCGGCACAATCGCAATTTACATATGTGCCTTACTTTCTGGGTCACATGTGTTTAACACACATGCTTAACTTTTGGCCCCGCCTCACTCTGTCCTCCTCCTGCTCCTCCTGCTTCTCCTCCTGCCCTGGTAAAAGTTTTGTGCAGCGCCAAAAACCATGCCGCACTCTCATATTGCATTGCGCCAGTTGTGGCTATATTTGTCTATCCGTCCGTCTGTCCGTCCGTCCGTCCATCTGTCTGTCCGTCTGTTTGCCTGTGTCGGTCTGTGTTTGTTTAGTTGGGTGGTTTTGCCTTATTTTTCTTATTTTTTCCACCAGATTTTCTATGCCGCTTTCAATGCCAAAAATTTGCGCGTTAATTTGTCTGCAGTTTTTTTTTCCTCTTTTTTTTTGCCGTCGACTTTTGGGCTTATCAGCCAAATGCAAAATGTTGCAGGCACAAAAGTTTTTCGTTTTGTTTCTGTAGCGTTTTCACGTTAGTTTTTAAGCCATTTTAATTGAGTTTTGTTGGCCATTTTGGCCCATTTTTGTTGCATTTTTATGAGGTTTTAGACAAAGATTTGTTTCAAATTTATCGTTTTGAGTTTTTAGTTAGCTCCAAATGGGTTGCTCTCGTTGTTGGGAAAGTGCAGATATTTCTATGCAGATGCAGATATATGTATGTATATACCCATGAATGCATATGTGTTTGTGAAAATAGTTCTATGTTTATTTTAAATTTATTTTAAGTGATATATAAATATGTTTGAATTGAGTGTTTGTCTTTTTTTGAATGTATTTAAAATTATCTAAAAATAAAACAATATATTTCAAATAATTCTTTGTTTATTTAAAATGATATATAAATATGTTCGAAATAATTCTTTGTTTATTTTGAATGTATTTTAAATCATCTAAAAATAAGTATATGAATATACTTAAAATAATTCTTTATTTTTCAACTGTATTTTTTAAATATATATAAATATGTTTAAAATAATTCTTGCTTTATTTTGAATGTACTTAAATGATATATAAATAAGTTTAAAAAAATTCTATATTTATTTTAAATTTAATTTAAATTTATTTACATAGAATTTCTTTCTTAAATACATCGAACACATCTCAATTTGTTATCCGAATTAAAGTCACATTCGATTGATTGAACATTTCTGTAGCAAATGCTTATGCCAATGTCCCTGAGAGAAAGTGAATGTTTGTGGTGTTCACAATTTGGCTTAGCCGCACAAGATGTTTGCTTTGTTTTTGCCAGAACCTGGGGCTACTTGCTGCCAGATGATTTTTGCTCTTATCGTATCTGTGCAATATGTCAACTCGTTCAATCCACAACAATGCATCGCACACACAAACACACACAGATAGACGCATATTTTCCATTTGCTGAATGCATTCGCGTTGTCACAACAGGAACAAACAGGAAAAAGAAAGAAAATTCAGAGAGAAAAAAGAAAAGCCAATTTCAAATTCGCGCTAGGCATTTTGACATATCTGTTGCCCTTGTTGTTGTTGTTGCTGGAGTTTTCTTTTGTTTTTTGGCCCCAAAAATTGTTTGTAGCTCGATTTTTTTTGTTTTTTTTTTTTTTTTTTGCGTCAATGGCAGGCGACAGGCAGCCCCAAAAAATATGAACCAGAAGAAAGCAACAACTATATTCGCATTGAACATTTTTGTTACTCTCTGATTGTTGATAAATATGACAATAAAATGGACACATATCGACCAATAACAACGACAAAAACAGCAACAACAACAACAGCAAACACTTTCAAATGAACGCAATATTTTTGTGTGTGCACTCTCTCGCGGTACAGTTAAGCTTGGCACATAACGGATGCCAGGTGTGTGTGACGTGTGAAAATGCTGACAGAAATACGAACAACAACAAGGCCGCTAATAAAAGCAAGCCATGCACAGCTTTAGAGCGTCAAGAGTTTAACATTGAGTACAGCCCGCAAAAAAAAGGGAAAGAAAGAAGAACCAAAGTTTACTTTGCTTTCTTTTTGGGCTCTCACTGTGCTGTGGCGCCATCTGTCGGCAGGCAGCGCAGAGCCAGAGACAACGTGTGTGTGATTGTCTGTCTGTGTGTGTGTGTGTGTGCTGGTAGAACGCACGTGATAAGCATGTGAAATTTTATGGCAACTCTATTTGTAACTTTCAACCTGTGTATGTGTGTGTGTGTGTGTGTGCAGCAACAACTTTTTGCTTTGAAGCTTTGCAGCCATCTCGTTTCCGCACTGCACTGTCTATCCCACACACACACACACACCTCTCTCTCTCTCTCTCTCTCACTCTCTCTCTCTTTCTTTCTCTCTCACTCGTTGGCTGGCACTGTCTAGCACTTTTGTGTGTGCACTGACTTGGAAAATACTTTTTGTGATAACATTTTATGGCTTGACAAGCAGCAAGGCAAACTACGCGCATCTCTCCTTTTTTTGGCCCACCCGAAAAAAATTATAAAAGTAAGAAACAATTTTTTTATGTATATTTTGTGTGTTGCAAAGTAAAGCATTATGGAGCCCTAGGCAGGCGCACACACATACGTACATGTATTTATATGGCTGCAGGATAGTTGGGCGTGAGGCGCTGGCATCAATTTGCAATTTGACAGCTGCCTATAAATAGCAAGAGAAATGACAACGCCAACTTACAATCACTTTGACATTGATGGAACTTGCTAAACTGTTCGAACTTGAAAGCCAAACGGGGCAAAAAGGAGACAAAGTAGAAGAGAGAAGAAAACGGGAAAGAATAGAGAAAACAGTTGAGAACTTTTCCGAGTTAATTTTAAGCGACTTGATGGGCTCATTCAAAATTTAACGCACTCAAGTCAAATATTTAACTATGAAATCTGCGGCTTACCAAGTGAGCAGCAAGAGCATCAAGAGCTATAATATTTATAAATCAAATATTGATCAGGCAACGTCTTTTATGCATTGTGAAATACAACAATAAAAACAAGTTAAATATTTATTATACATTTGCATAAGTTTATTCAATCAAATTGAAGCTTGCCATAGATAAAATCGAATTTCGTTTGTTTTCTGTTTTTTTGGGCCGGTATTTTAATTTTTTATGTTGTCTGCTTACAACAAAATGACCTCTTTTTTATTGACGAACAAAAATTTGGAATATTTTGATTACATATTAATAAGACAATTAGTCAATTGTGAAATTATAACGTTTCTTGTTCGGCCAGCTGATTTCCTCCAGAACCCTAGCCTCCTCTATCTGCTGCAGATCATCGAACTGCTCGAAGTCGTCGAGCTCCAACTGCTCCGAGCTCTTCAATGCGCTAGACGAAGATGAGGGGGGCAAGAGAGCCAGCTCATGCAGCTTGAACCCGTAGATGCTGCAGGCAGATGAGAAAGAGTTAGAAGAGAGAGGGAGATAGAGATAGTGAGTCAACTGACCGTGGTATGTACTTCTCGCTGGGCGGCTGGGGCAGCAGGTGCGGCAGCTGCATGAAGAACATGTGTGGAAAGCTGCAGCCGAACATGGCGCCATCGAGCAGGGCACAGCGCTCGTTCGGCTGATAGATGTCCTGGCAGCGAGGACAATAGACCTTCACGTGCGACTCGCCAATGCGATCGGTCAGGCCCAGCGGCAGCACCGCCTGCTCGTTGCAGAAGATGCGCGGACAGATGCCAAAGTCGCCGCGCTTGTACTTGAGGTACATGTCCATGATGCCGCGGCGCGTCAGTATGTACCGTGCATGGATCAGGCCGTACACCTGCTCGGCCATTTCGGGATGCGTCTCCGCATCGGCGTCCCTGTCGAAGCCGTACTCGATGTCGAACTCCGAGTCGAGTATGGCATCCAGAGTGTCCTGAAAGTTCTCCACCATCGTCTCCAATCCCGTCAAGTTGAACTTGTCGCGCGCATACTCGGAGGGCACGCGGCACAGAAACTCATTCGACGGCAGGTTAACGAACCAATTGATCCACGATCTGTCCGCTTTCGACATGTCTCAGCTGTTCTGTCGTGGGTCTATATATAGTTCGAGTGAATATTAATCGATCGACGTTGAAATTACGCGTTCACTTGGAGGCAGTGCTTATACTCGTCGTTTTTGTGCAACTAAAAATATATATTTTTTATATATATATATACTATATTTATTATTTAATGCTGGAGAGAGAGTTGTGTATGACTGAATCTCGTCTAGCTATATGTATGTGTGTGAGTTTCAAAATATGCTCCATAAACATCATTGTCCAAGCTGAATGGCAAAGCTTACTTTGTCTTGAGGAATTTTTTATTTTTTTATTTTATAAACTTTTAATTTAACATTTCTGTTATTCAATTAGTATTTTTATTTATTTATATATTTATTTAATTACTCACTTATTGATTTTTTATCTATATATGTATTTATATATACATATATTAATAGTAACGAATTTATTAATTTATTTATTTGCTTATTTATTCACTATTTTTTGTAATAATAATTTTTAATTTTTTTTGTAATTTTTAAAGTTTTTGGTTATGTAGTAGATATATTACTTTTATTACAAATATTTTATTGAAGAGGTTTTAAGCTTCTTTAAAAGACAAATTCACCTAATTTTCATAATTGTATATTAAATATTACAAATAATTTGAATATTTCATAAAAAAAATATTTCTACTATTTTAGTATCAATTTAATCTAGTTTTACATTAGATTATGTTATATTAATAAAGTCTTTGCATCTGCATAAGTCGCACATACAAGAATATACATTTTTGTTTATCAAATGAAAAAAGATTTTTAATTTGAATTAATTTTTATTAGCTCCATGTTCTTCAGTCTATATTACACATTCAAAGCTACGACGTATATAAGTATACATAATTGTAATTTAATTCATGTCATTTCTGAAATTCAGCGGATGCGATATTTGCAGCCTTTTCTCAGCTATAAATTCAGCAATAATATTTCATGGGGTATTCCTTAAAGTGGATTTTCTTTCAAGGTATTATTTAAACGATATTTCTCGCAAATCGCGCAAATTGTATGGCATTAGAAATGCGAACAGCAGAGGACTCTGCACACGCGACAACAAAGGAAATAAACACGCATGCTTATGAGGTCATCAACAGTCATGAAATTTTTGTATGCCAAGGGGTAGGAGCTTTGTGGCAGGGCTGACAGGACCGAAGCGAAACGCGAGCGCGAAGGACGCGACCAAAGAAGTGGAGGAGGGGGATCGCTGGGTCGTCTCAACTAGCCATGTTTGTAATGGGTGTGTGAGTGTGTGTGTGCGTGTGCTGTCACTGCTGTCATGTATGTGTGTGTGTGTGTGCAGTTGTGTTTGTCATTGGCACTTAGCCTTATTAGTATGTGCAACGGGCAACAGTCGTTGCCGCTGCAAAGTGCTGATGGAGCTTACCAAAAAAAAAAGCAGTAGAAAGAAAGAAAAAAATCAGAAAAGTACGCAAAAGTACGTGCATGCACTGTGCCCGCCGCTCAAAAGTATGCTACGTTTATGTGACTCGACTGCTGCTGAAACTGAAGCTGGAGCAGCAGCAGCAGGAGCGGGAGCAGCAGCAGGAGCAGGGGGATGTGTGCAATGCGCGTAATGTAAGCAACGCCAAAAAAGTATGCAATATTAAAAATATACTTGCACATATAAACATATATAAATGTATATGTATGTATGTGTGTATACATATTGTTATGGCTACACACTCACACACACACACACACACATGTCAGACAGCTGCGCAATAACTGTACATTAAAAGTCATTGCATTCATGATATTATTTTTTATGTATTTCTGCCAGCTTTGACTCGCTTTGTCTGTTTGCGTGTGTGTGCGTATGTATCTGTGTGTCTGCTCTTCATATATTTTAAAGTGTTGCCTTTATTTTGGTTAGAAAATTTCATTGCACTCTGTGTATGGCATAGAATTTCCAATTTAAGAAATTCTTTTGACTGTTTGATACCCTGCAATTTGTTAGGCTTGAATACGAACTTAGACTACAAATACTTTTGCCCATTTGAAGCCACATTTGTCAGAGTATTTGGCAGTCGTTCAGCGGCTTTTGCATAGAGCAGCTTTAGCTCACATTTTTATTTCTATTTGGCGCTCATCATTTGCCGCTGTTTGTTGCAATGTTGCCCTTTGGGCTTTCACATGAGTGCTTTGGCCCCGTCCACTGCACACTGTCATGGCCCCAGGCCACGCCTACTTTGCATTGTGCAACTTTCAGTGAAACAAAAAAAATTGTTTTTGGCGCTAATGCTTTTGTGATGAGTTTTGCCAGGCAAAAGAAAAAAAATGAATTGAAAATGTTTTATTATATTTTTTTATTTGTGCTAAAGAGCCTTTTAAATAAATAATAAATAGACAAAAGTGTTGAATTTTAAATAGACATTGTTTGCAGCAAATGTCCGGCTCTTAATTGATTTCATTTGAGGCATTTCTTGCATACTTTAGCTCTCATTGTTGCTGTTGTTGTTGTTGGCGCTGCTGCCAAATAAATGGGAGCAGACCAAAAATTACAGAAATATTGCGGTTTTAGGTCATTTAATTAAATACACAAAGGTTGCCCACGACAAAGGTGAGCTGGAAATATGCACAGCAATTACAGAAACAATTTAACGATTTAAAGCATGCAAATATTTAGATATTTAACACTTGATACCAAATTCTAAAATTAAGTAAAAAATTCTTCAAGCTTGCTTATTTCATATTTTAATTGATTTTCTTTTTCTAATTTCCTTGCAGGTAAGCGTAGCAGAAGTGCAAATTTATGTCATTCTCTTGACTGAATGCAACAACAACATCAAATCAATCACAGGCATTTATATAAAATATTCTTAATTTATGCATTTTAATTCTATGAGCAAGTAAAAGTGTTACGAATAATAGTTAAGTCGAGCATAACTGGGATGATAAAAGAATACTCTGTACAAGACCTTTTGTCCTATTATTTAGATAGGGAAAAGTCAACTTAGTTGAGTAAAAAGCTCAACAACTTCACAAATAAATATATATATACATCTTTACAGATAGATATATCTACATTTTATACGTATATATGTTTCATAGAGCCTCTCATAACTCAGCTTTGTTGTTGTTGCTGTCAAACAAATTGAATTATTATTTATTTTCAATTTGTTGGGCGAAAGCAATGCAGCAAATTAAATGCAATTCAATTTGGTCAAAATAAATTGTTTCTCTGTATGAGTGTGCGACTGTGTCTATCTGTGTGTCTACTCTCTCCTTCCCCCCTCTCTTTGCTGCAATAAAGGCAGCAAACAATGAGCGATTCGAATGAAGCAAAGAAAACACACAACACATGTTTGCCCATATATACAAAACAAGAAGCAGACAATAAAGGCAAAAGCTGATACAAGTTAACCGCAAAAGAGCTTCGAAGGCAAGCGAAGGCAGCGCTGGCCGAGTCGAAGGACAGTGGGAACAGGTTAGGTCGCCTTCAAAATGCTGGACAATTTTCCAGTGGCTGGCGCCGCCCGTTGGCAGTTGCTTCATTTTTAGTCAACACGGCAAAGATGCTATCCATCGCATCCTTTATCCTTTGGCAAAAATTCAATATTTTCCAAACAAATAACAACAGCAACAACAATGGCAGCAAGCAACAGCTACGCACTGCGAAGGATAACATATTAAATTTGCCAATAGCATCGGCTGGCAAAAGGACAATGCCATAAAGACAAGAAATCAATTTTTTTTTTGTCCTTTTCGTTTCCTTCTGCAGAGAAAACAATTTTCCAACAATAAAAAATGGCCCAGGCGCTGACTTGTCGTAGGGTATAAGGCCGGGGGTTATGCCAGGGGGCGTGGTATGTGGGTGGGTTAACAGCCAAGTCGCACACACTCACACACACACACACGCAGACATGGACAAGCCTTTAAAATCGAAAGCAAGGGAAACGAGACCAAGCGAAACAAATCATAAAAACTGCTGCGACGACTGACAGAAGGAGTGGGAGGGGGCCGGAGTGGGGGGCAGCTGTTGGTGTTGGGGACTTAAGGTTTTTGCTGTGGCAAGCCATAAAAAAATAAGGCAAAGTGGCGTGTAAGAAAGCCAATAAAAAACGCACGAGAAATGTGAGACAAGTGAACAGCAGCAGGAGGAGCAGGAGCTGGATACCATAGGCAGCTCTCGCTCGACAGCAGTTGGGGTTAGCTTATGTGTGTGTGCGGTATGTAGTGAATGTGGTGCGATTGCCGTTAGCTATTGGGATTAGTCAGTGGGTAGCACTTTGTGCCGCATTTGAACACCAAGCATATAAAGCCAATGACTTTAATTGAGTAGAAAGATTGAGATGAAATTCCGGATGTGAAACTATTAGAGCCCAGGCATTTCAATTGTGGCTAGCTGCAGACATCTAGGTAGATGCTGAGAGATTAAATGCAATTATTGGATTGCTCTTTGCAAAGCTGCTTGAAAGCAGCAAAACATAGAGCTTTGGGCGAAAATAGAATAATGAAAACATATGGAAACGAAAATGTGAAGAATTGCCTATTTCACTGGGGGATATAATGGAAATAAATAAAATAAATAAATAAATATATACATAGAAAACATCTGTGGTAAACAACAATAAATTTATTTGAGGATAATTTAGTTTTTATTTGTAAATCATTTTATATTTTTACTTTAATTTGAGTAGAATTTATAGCAAAAAAGAGAAAAAGAAATAAATAATTATTTCTTAGAGTGAAAGAAAGATATATTTATAAATATTAAATATTTATTTTTTAATTGACCAAAAAAGTAAATACCAATATTCATTACTTGATTGATAAAAAGCATTCGTACTTCAGAAGGAAAACTAAAAAGAAAATTCATAAATTATATAATTTATTTTACATTTAATTTAAATATTTATTTTTGTTTGCATCTTATGGCAAATCAAATCAAAATCTTAAGCACCTAAAATTCCCTCTTTTTGTCACAATTTATATGCATAATTTGCGAGATGCTCCTAAGCTTTATTCAATATAATTTCTCCCTTATTTAATTAGGCTTATCTCTTAAAAATATTCAGTCGGATCGGCGCAGTGCAATCGCTTGTCGGCTATTCCCTGCCTTGCCTGCGTGCCATTAATGGACA